CAAAAAGGAAGTGTTCTTTTTTTTTAAAATTATTTATTTATTACATTTTTATTTAGTGTGTGTATGTGTGTGGCCAGCTCAACCCACCAGGGGGCGGGGCTGGCTGGCATGTGGTCCTGGGGGATCGAACCGCGGTCCGAGCTTGTTCCAAGTAGGTGCTTTAGACCACTGAGCCATCTCTCCAGCCCCAGGAAGTGTTCTTACACAAAATAAAAACAGCATATTTTCTGTAGTTTTTTTTTTTTTTTTAGTGGTACCAGGGATTGAACTCAGGACCTTGCGCTTGCCAGGCAAGAACTTATTCCACTGAGCTATCTCCCCGGTCCCTAATGTTCAGATTTTAACTGAAAATTGCATCCTAGATATTTTTCTATCTGTATGGCACTTTTTTCTCTTTTTATATATAATATTCATTTTAAGTTTCTAATTTATATTCCTTGTCGGGATATAATCTATATGTGCCTGTTGGAACTGTTAATTTGCAAACTCTGGAAAGAGGAAAGTTTAAATTTTTCCAGCTGCCAAACTTAGGGCTTTGCGGTGAATCATCAGGATGGACTTTCTAGGCCAAGTGCGAGCCCTGCTCTGGGGCCGTGGGTCTGAAGCCACAGGAACGTGACAGGTTTATTTAGATGCCTGGCTAGAGTCCTGATGCCGGAGCCTGAGTGACTTCCTGCAGGCAGCATCTCTCCGTCTCATCCTCTGTGCAGGGTCTTCAAGGGCCGCTGGTTGAGGGACACTGGAGACGGCTCACCAGGCTCTTTCCCTCCTATACCATGTTAAATATGCAACCAGTTTCCCTTCCTGGAAATATAGATTATTTCTAATATGATTCTGTATTAACATTCCTATAGCTACACTTGCTTATAATAAATTCCTAACACTAGAATTCAGAGGTCAAGGGATATGAGTATTTTAGGGTTTTTCTTTCTTTCTCCTTACATGCACTGCTCCACTGTGGCCATGACTTTTTCATAAGGTAATTTAGCGCGTGCTCAGAACACCAGCTTGTGCCACGCCATCCTACAGCCATGTCCTGGGATCCCCTCAGGTTCAACACGCTGGACTCCGACCCGACTCTCACCGTAAGACTGGAACAGCCTTTGCCTTGCGCCGCTTACAGTGTCTTGCTGTGTGGTGCAGCCTGCCCTTGAACTTCCAGTGTAGTCTAGGCTGGCCTCGAGCTCCAGGGCGTCCTCTCATCTCGGGCTCCTAGTGCTGGGTCACAGTATGGGCCAGCACGCCCAATTTTTCTAAAAGTTTGTCACAGGTGTTGAGGCCGTGATTTTACCACTTCACATTTCAGGCATTTAAAACAAGAATCAGCAACGTTCCTACCATTAAGAAGTTCCTGCAGCCTGGGAGTGCAAAGCAGCCACCCCCGGACCGCCACTACGTGGAAACTGTCAGACGCGTCCTGCAGCAGTGAGCACACGAGGCCCACGTGAGCAGAGCCCCCAGCAGCACTGCGCCCGCCAGCTGCAGCATGACAGAAGCCAGCTGTAGGCAACAGGAGCAAAGAGCCTGAGGAGACCAGAACCATGCCGCCACCAGCAACAGTGCCAATTAAACGTGATATGAAACCATTCTGCTATGTGTGGTTTTCTTTAAGGTGTCAAGGGTGGTAATCGGCAGCTTTTATGAAATCTGTGTTCTGTGGAAGTGAGGGGCAGACACGCTTAGGGCAGTGGACTCCACGGGCACCGCTCTTGTGTCTGCATCAAGGCCAGGGCCACAGGAGCAAGGATGAGCACGGGTCAGGGAGCGGGATCCCCGGCACTTACCCGAGTCCTGCATGCGTGGGGCTGGAAAACGAGTGAGAAACGGCCAGTGGAGCACAGCAGGAGGTGCTTAGCTAGCCGGGGGAGAGGTGGAGGGCACATGCCCAGGAACACGGCTCTGAATCCCTGAAAACAAACTTGGGGATGTAGAATTCCCGCTTCCACTCCTGATCTCTTCAAGGACCAGGGCCAGTCCACACATGACATGTATGACTTCTGAACAATAAATACGAAGATAAAGTATTCCATTGTTTCCAAACTATTTTAATACAGGTTTGTTTCATTTATACTACTAGTTTCTTAATTCACTGAAAAGTTTTTTTTTTATTTTTAATTTTTTTAAACATTTATTTATGTGTGTGTGTATGTGTGTGTGTGTGTGTGGCCAGCTCAGCCCACCAGGGGGCAGGGCTGGCTGGCATGTGGTGCTGGGGGATCGAACCGCGGTCCCTTTGCTTTGCCAAGTTTGTTCCAAGTAGGTGCTTTAGACCACTGAGCCATCTCACCAGCCCCTGCATATTATATTTTAAAAATTATTTATTTATTGGATTCAGGGTCTCACTACACAGCTCAGACTCGTAGTGATCCTCCTGCCTCAGGCCCCCCGCACTGGGGCATTCCGGGGCCTGGCACGGCATGTGGTACAGGGGATTGAGCCCAGGTTCTTTGCGGTTGCCAGGCAGACACTTAAACCACTGAACTATCTCCCCAGCCCCACACATTGTAATCTGTAAAGTAGTTATTCAGACAAGATATGGGCATTAAAATTTTCTTGAATCAAGAGCAGCACAAGCCTTCCCTTTCAGTGAACTATGACACCAGTGGCGTAACTACTTGCTTTTCCCTTCGCTCCTTTCTCTTCTCTACCACCCTAGTTTCCCCTCCCTTTGTACAATTTTTTCTCATATCACAAGATCTGTTGTATGTTTTAGACATTCACTCTTTTGGTTCTTACACCAGGGAGAGAATATATTTACATGCTAGTCGGATTATTTCACTTCAGAGCTTGGCTTCACGTTGTGTCCATTCGCTTGTGACAGTCCCGAGTCTCTTTCTTTATGGATGCTTAGTACTACATTCTAGAAAAATACTGCATCTTTTTTTTTTTAAATATTTATTTATTTTTTATTTATTTATTTATTTTGTGTGTATGTGGCCAGCTCAGCCCACCAGGGGGCGGGGCTGGCTGGCATGTGGTGCTGGGGGATTGAACCGCGGTCCCTGTGCTT